TCCCGCGCCGTCGGAGCGTCTGCAGGATGACCACGCGTGGCCACGAGGCCGCGGGGCGCGGGCGGCCACCCAATGAGAAGCTCCCTTTGCACGGAGGTCGCGTGCCCGCCGCTTCACTTGCCTCCGCCCACGCTGCGCCGTATTTGACCGGGAAATATGCGCAAATGGAAGATTTATTTCCTTTGGGACGATTAATACGCAACTTCATTCAAATACAATTTTCCGCTTTAAACGTACAAAAACGTTTCAAGTTCTTTTACCTACCCGTTGTCAGGAATTCTGCTTGGCTCTTCTGGACTTTCCTGGGGTGATGTCGGAGGACGAAAACGGACGTAGGTGGTGTGGGTTCATAAAAAATTCAAAAAAATAATATCTATCTTATTTCAGTATTGATTGTCCCAAAAAAGGAATTTACCAGTCAAAGAATAATTAGTGAGGGCAAGTACCGTGCTTATTACTGATGTATTTCTATTTCCTACTGATAGGCGTCACTTCAAGTACAACAAACATGACTTCCAATCGCAGAGATTTCGAAATTATCGTGATTCGTGTGAATGAAAATGTGTGCGGATAATACGCCCCGCATCTCGAAAACGATAGCCGGGAACCGGCTGCTGATAAATAGTTGCGCGTTTTTTGAGCAAAGTTGCGGAAGTAGGATATTTGAAACTGTCATAATAAGTGAGTAAGGGTATTGATTTCGAGTTCGTCAGCTAGAAAGGCCATTCCGTGTGTCCTACGATCCAAGGAGACTTTGATGTATCTCCTGGCTGAAGCGTAGCATCCGGCGCCGTCTTAATATCGGATTGCGGGATTTCTCCCTCACCCGGCGAGGCACCACCCAAACCGGACAAGCTCTGAGCTCAGGACCTGTGTGGCTGTGTAGTGTGTGTAAGTGGATGGGTTCGTGTAAGGGGAGAGGACGGGTCACGGATGAGAAAGGAACATCGCGTTTGAACACCGTTGTCAGCGTTTGAATACTACTCCGTTATTCGCCTGGAGTTGATCAGAGCAGCCGGTTGCTATAATTCTCATTCAAACAGTGAATTCGAACCATCTATGTAACTAGTGTCGAAAATATACCAGCGTCGGCACTCAACCCTACGACCTACCTGTTGTAGACGCAACTGTCTTGTCACTGAGTTTCTGCACTTGGTTGAATGATGCTCATTGTATGGTGGAAATAAATGTTTACTTCTATATATGTAAAAATTTATACTTTAAATTCCTTTGGTGCACATATAATATGAAATACGAACCATTTGCATTCGTTTGAAATTAAACCTTGAAACTAAGAATATAAAAATTAAATATGTACATTATCTTCATTAAAACAATAAGAAACGTTTGGCTCCGAAACACGTGAAAAAATTTCACCGCCTCTTCTTGTACATGGAAGTGTAATTATGTACATAAGTAAACAGTTTTCATGCTAAAAGGCATTTGAATTCTGAATGTCTTAGAAACGATATGTGCCAGAATTTTTCCTAGAAAACTAACGTACCAGGAAAATCAGTAATTTAAGATTTAAAATCCTGCATACACTATATTTTTATTTTAACGATAATATTCCTCCACAAATGAAACATTAAGTGTAAGGAAACGGAAAATACAATCAGTCACTGATCAAAAACACGCCGTATCGCACCCATAAAAATGTATTCCTCCCGATCGTTGACTTTCGCGCGCTGTCAAAGTAAACGCAACCCTGACGTGGCCACAGACGAGCAAAGATCGACGTCACTCCCCTCCTCGTCACTCTCCTCGTCGGAGATGGTTCGGAAATGGGGCGGGCGCTCCATCAGCGGCGAGGCTTAGCGGCAGCGGCCATACAACCGCGCCCGCGCCCGGGGACATTATAATTGATCACTGAACTAACATTTACAGATGCCCGCTCTCCCCCCCCCCCTCACACTTCAGTTCCCATGCTCTTATTTGGAACAAGATCCCTGTCACTAATAGCAGAGCGGGACCCGCCGCTGCCGCCCCGCGGCCTGCCGCCCGTTGCCTGCCGTTCTCAGCACCTACTTTTTGTGTCGGCGTCGACCCCATTTGCGCCCTGTCAAAACGAGCCAGTCGTTCCCCACGGAGTGACGCCCCGCGGGCGGTGCCCCGCGGGCTCAGCGTCGCCTCTGGACAGCGCGAGGGAGGGTGCCGGGGGTGGAAGCGGGGTACGGAGATGGAGGGGTGGGGCGACGTAGCAGGATGACATCGTGGTGGTTTGGAAAGGCGATCGAGAGGCAGGGCTGTAGGGCGGCTCGACGATAGGGCGGTAGAATGGTTACGTGATACAATGGTAAGGCCGTAGGACGGAAGAGAAGACGGAAGGGAGATGTGACGGAAGGGCGGTGGGAAGGTAGGTTGGTAGGGTGAGGACACCATAACTTAACACCAGCGCGACTATTTCAATCCTTAATTAGTAGGTTTTTTCGTATTCTCACAGCTTCCAGTCATTGGTTACCAGATTTGATGTTTGAGAAATATATACGTGTGAGGTGTATTATAAGAGCAAGAGGCAACATTGAATTGTTTTGTAGTTTTTACATAAAAGTTCAGGAACTAAAATTGTTATTTGTTTCATAAATTGAGTTTCATTGGCTAACTGAAACGTTTCGAACAGCCTAGTTAATATAATAATATGTAATAGAATAAAAGTCAAGTAGAACAGAACCTGGCACTTCAAACAGCAGATTTGCAATAAAAAATGAACCTTAAAAATTTACTTACGTACAACGAGAGTACGATGAGAATACATCATATTACTGCCGAATAACGTTCAATTTAATGGCAAACTACAACATAAAATTCAGTTTAATACCTAGTCACTTGGAAATTAAATTATGAAATGAAATGTTCTTTCAAAATCGTGTTTGGAGTTGCCTTAATTTTATATCTATATTTGTAATTAACATTAAGATTCTAACGTTGTCTTCTCAACCCGCGCACCTGCCTTGTATCGAATGAAAATAAATGACTCAGGTTCTAGTTTACTGTTTATTTGGTCCGCTCAGTGCATATGTTTATTGATGGAGGTCATGCATTACTCAAGGCCATCTCAATCCCCGGCGCCTTTCATTGTGTATCCCTCACATGACACCGACATAGCTGCTGCCTCTCGATTTAAAATGGTAACTACACGAAAGTTCTTCTTATCGCCCGCGCCGCATATATGAAATCGCTATGTTATAATTCTGCTTCACTTATGCCCGTTGAATTTAATTATTCTAAGAACGTGCATTCACGAAGCATTATGATTTAAAATTCAAAGTACCAACGCGAACTCGAAACTTATCGCCGGTCGGCGAGTGTATGTATCGACTTCATTAGCTGGTGCACTAAGGTTCCCGCCCCGTGGCCGGGATTTTCATGACAATGCGTTATACATCCCGATGAGTCTCCGAGCTGCAATGCCGTCACCGCCTCTGCCTACGCCATCGCCGCCTCCACTGTCGCCGTCTCCGCAGTGACCGCCTCCGCCGTCGTCGCTACCGCCATCGTCGCCTTCGCCATCGCTGCCTCCGCCATCACTGCCTCCGCCGTCGACGCCTCCGCTATCTCCGCCTCCGCCGTCGCCTCCTCCGCCGTCACCGCCTCCGCCATCACCGCCACCCGAAGCGCCGCGTCCACCGTCAACGCCGCCGCAATCGCCGCCTCCACCGTCACCGCCTCTGTTATCGCCGCCTCTGCCTTGGCTGTCGTTGCCTCTGTCTCCGCCGTACCGCCTCCCCGTCACCGCCACGCCAACACCACTTTCTTCCCTTCCGCCTCCTCTGCCATCGCCTCCGCCGTCAACAACGCCACGCCAACACTACTTCCATCATCCCTGCCATCATTGTTTCTGCCCCTGCCCTCTCCATTCGCCTGGCAAGAGGAGGGACGACGAGGATCCCGTGTAATCTCGTCGGTCCTGGTCGCGCGCCGTAGACGCTCCTTTTATGATTTAAACATGCTTCATTCTCGATCACTTCTTCGATACCCATCTCCAGCACCCGCCTTGACGAATGCCCCCGTACATAATTCAGAACGCGACGTTGTTTCAGAACTGTATAATTAGCGAGTCCCCCGTCGAATACACAATTGCCATCAGAGACGCTCAGGAAAGACGATTCATAACAGAGGAAGGTCCACCGAGCTGGCTGGTTCTTTTATGCAGAACTCTCCCTTATGAAATTGCATTGGCGAAATCCATATGTAGAAGAGAGAGTGTCTCATAAAATAAAAGATACGGCTTGACTAGTCAGTTTTTGAGCAAACATTTCTTGGTTTATAATTCATTGAGTCAAAAGTTTCCTTGAATGTCTGCTCAACGAAACAACAATAATTTAAAAAAGTATTTAAAATGCGTGAATTGATATGCTCATAATAATAATAATAATAATAATAATAATAATAATAATAATAATAATTGTAATTGTAATAATACAATTAAATTTCAATTGTTCCTTTGAAAGTACATATGTATATTGACAAATTGTTTCGTTCGAAAGATGCAACGCATGTCAACTTATTTGGAGTTTCAATTTCAGCAATTTGTGATATATTATTACAATTTCTCTCTTTGATTGTGGATCTTTTTTTGTTTTGTTTTTTCCATTGTCGATTTGTTCGAGGTAATGATTCGCTCAAAAAGCATCGTTTTCGGTACTTCATAAAATACTTAATTAGATTTTAATGATCCTGGTGCAATAATATATTATAAATGAAATAATAGTAATAAATGCTTTGTATCCTGTTTCATATAAACATTGATATTAATTGTGAATATTACATAAGTAATCATCTTCACATAATTTATAGTTTATACCAACGAACTTTAATTTTATTACCTATGAACTTAAATGTTACCCAGATTATTATAAAAATAAGTCATTTTCATTTATGTTAACTTACCTAAAAACGAATATTACATGCAATTAATATAGAAAAAGATCTTAGTACATAATTTGAGGCACCAATCATGGTCACCTTCCTTGACTGGTGAAACTAAACTAGACCAGGCAATGAAGTCTCTCATACGTTGGAATGGCGAGTGGGCATTTTCTCATGCATATTTTCTGCTTCTTTTGCAGTTGGACCGTATCGGCTCGTACATCAGACCGCTGCTAGAGTCGCCCTCCCTCAAGAAAGGTAAGTGCGCACGAGAAAGTCTCGTCACGCGAAGTTGTGCGGCAGCGAGGGCGCTGGCGGCTCCGGGGGCGCGGCCCGGGGTGAGGGCGGGTAGCGCAAGGGGAGCTCCGCGCCTGAGAACCTTTTTGTCGCTATTCGCACTTGAGCCGGCTAAATGAGCGTCCACGTGGACATCCGCCAAATTTTTTATTCTTATTATTTTTTTGTCTCGAAAGTGTTTTGTTTTGCCAATTTGTATCAGCCTCTATTTCCATTTCTAATATTTCAATACGGTTTTGTTTCTTTAATACACCCCTGCTGTATTTCATAGTCATACTCAATTTGAGAATCGTACGAGTATTATCTGCGAAAATGCATATTTTTTCTACATTTTCTATTAAACATTCTTGCTTCGTACCCCATAATTATAAAGCTTTTCTTGCTACCTAGCTCAGACTTTCGCAATTGAGCATCCCCATAGTTTTACCATTACTCTAACTTTGTTTTTATTGGGTATCATTGCAGAGCAATATTCGTCGATTTGAATGTCAAACAGAATTCCGAAACATAATTATGTGTTTCTTGTTACCGAAGTCTTTCAATTAATCTCGGGTCTTCATTTTACATGAGGTGCATAAATAAAATATATTGTTTTCATTAGTTGAAAAGTGTGTGTATTTTATTAACATTTGTGACGACCAGATAAAAGAAATCGTTGAAAACTATTCCCAAATTGGTTTGGAACAATCGTTAAATGCATAATTTATTTTTTTACTCATTGTCTATTTAATGATTTAAGACATAGTATTTTAGAAATAAACCTGTCTTCGAAACATTCCTAGAAACATCCACTAGCGCTCGAGCAACCTGCTGAAGGCTTTTTTGAAGTACTATATGAGAAAATGCGACATTATGTGGATTACAGCGCCTATGATTATATCGTGCAAAAATAAACTGTCCCTCGCTTCCGATGCCCTGTGCCTTAGCGCGTGCCTCAACCATTCGCACCCTTTCACACACACGGCTACACCGCATTCCCGTTTCCTTTCTCTCGATACGGAGCTGCTATTCCGATCCTCTTCCCAACGTCTCCGCCAGCACTTCCAACTCCCCGTTCCCATCGCACCCCGATCCCTACCCCATCCCTCCGCTGCGAACGAACCGTCGGCCCGTGATGACTCACTCGAATCGAGTTTGTTCGGCGAATCCCCGGCGGAATAGGCCTTATTATGATTGGTTCTATACACAATACGTGTCTCATGTTTTATTTAGCCTCGTATAGCGTTTTTGAAAGAACGACGTAAATGGAATTCTTGAACAAGGAAATTGTTGCATGCATAAGAACAGTCCAATATCTCCGGGGCAAACGCAAAGATAAACGAGAAATGACACAGAGTAACCGCTATTGTAGAATATAACAAAGATTTCTACTGCCCAGTTCGAGCGCGTGCTTTTCTTTCGTCGTTTTTTTTTTATCCCAAATCTATGAATAAGGAATGATGCACCGCAACCCAGACGTTGCCTCGCCTCCCTTCTGGAGCTCTCCGCCCCGGCAGACCCCTCGCTGCGCGTGTGCGGCGCACCTCGCTCCGGCCCTTTCCCGCGCCTCCTCGCTTCAGCTTGGTCGCCTCGCCACCGAGGCGCTCCGCCCTTGATCGTCGTGACTCTTTCTTTCCTTCGCCCCTCGCGCCTCATTCGAGTCTTCCCTTTGGATAGCGATTCGTCTCCATTGACTTATGTGTTAACACCTCAGTTATTTCTGTTCTAAAGTTTTTGATATACTTTTCGTACAATTCAAATGGAAGTTGGATTTATGTTATTCAACACATGTGAAAGAAGTTAAATTTATGTACGTTTTGATTCACAAAAATAGCGTTCCACGTTTCTCTGTGTGTGTGTTCACCGGTAGTATTTTTTGTTATATATTTCAATATAGCAATTTCTGTCATCAAGGTTTTTGGTCAGTAATATTTCAAATAACGTATTATATGTACAAGTATTTTAGATGAATTTGATAAGTCACGCAGACTTGATGCACATGACGGGGAAACATTTAATGAAATACTATCAAGTTTTCACGGTAATATTTCATTCTTGTTTTATTCCTATCTTTTCACATTTCTTCGTTCTCTCTTGAACATTGCAAACTTCCTATGAGTCTTCAGAGGTTTAAAAAGCATGGATTATATTGTGTAGTTCGAGGAAACACTCACTTGGCGCGTTAAATGAACATATTAAATCTGTAAAAACGTAATTTCATTATGAGAGTCACCCAACGCCTGGAAATTTTAATGACCCCGATCCCAGAGGCCTACGTACCCATTTCATCATTCCAAAACATTCCTCTTCACCCACGCCTTCTCCGCTTCAGTTCCGCCTTCCTTCGCATCCTGCCACCATCCGGGCGTCGAGCTACCCTCTTCTCTCCAGGGTGTTCCATAATCGGCTTCGTGAGTTTAAAAAGAGTGTGGCTTCGCGATTACGTCCTGCGCCACGCGGGAGGAGCAAATTGCCGCGTTTTTCGCGTAATTCGTACTTTTCGGAGAGAAAGAGAGAGAGAGAAAGAGAGAAAGAGAGAGAGGGAGAGGGAGAGGGAGAGAGAGAGAGGGACAGCGAGAGAGAGAGAGAGAGAGAGAGAGAGAGAGGGAGAGCGAGCGAGACTCAGCCCCCGTCCTCATTGCAGGGCCGGTCGTTAGTGCTGTCCGCGCAGGTACGCCGTTGCCGGAGAAATTACGCGGTTTTTGCAAGCGCAGCCGACGGTTGGCGCCCTCCGGCAGAGGTCAGGCGATGGCGACGACCCGCCCGCCGCGCCACCTTTCACGCGGTTTTTGAACTATGCGCGCAGAAACGCGCTGCGCCGCGCCGTTGCATCGCACGGGGTGTTCTTTGCGCGCGCACGGTGTTTTGTTCGCATTAACCGCTTCTAATGTGGAAAGTGTCGGCAGGTGAAATGGGTAATTTATGCATCCATGGACTCATTAAGGAATTCGTTTTTGTGTCAACATCTAAATATAGTGATGATATACACTACCAACAGCTTTAAACTGAGTGCGTCATGAGAGGAAAAATTTGTCTCCCGGGAGTATGTTTGAATATTTTCAAAATTTCATTTCCTATTTTACTATTGGGTTAATTGTTTCTCAGTTACTATTACTAACGCTTGCGTTCGGTTTTTCTGTCATTAACCGTTTTTAATATAGAAAGTGTCGTCTGGTGAAATGGGTAATTTATGATCCTTGGGCTCATTAAGGAATGTGCTTTCATGTCTACTCTTACATATACTGATGATGTATATTGCCTGCAATTTTAAACTGTGAACATTATTAGTGGAAAATTCATTTTCGTCTTGCGGAAAAAAATTGCATTTCTTAAACTTATTAAAGATATTTTAGAGTTTTTAACGCAATAGTTAAATTTTTCTGTTAAACTATTGCGTTAATTGAAACTCAATAACTATTACTAGCCATGCATTTACAAAATACAGGACATGCTTTGCTCTTGTTCGACTTGAACTCATTAAGCGCTTCAGATGTAGAAATTGTTATTAGATAAAATGGATCATTCATTCACTCCCAAATCTTCTGTAGAATACTTTCCTGTGTCTACTCTTTGAAATGGAGCAATATATTTCTGCAGCTCATAAATTGAGAGTTTGATAAATGTAATAACACATTTTCATCTTCTGAACATTAATCATGCTTCTTTGAAATCTCCTGACCGGTCTCTTGACATGTGTGGTTGTGTATTGCATATTAGTGTGTGTGTGTGTGTGTGTGTGTGTGTGTGTAAGGGGAGAGGAGAGGAGAGGATGAGGAACAGAAATAAAACGTCGTACGCGGTCCGTAGCCATTTTGTTAATGTACTGCTCTGACATAAACTTGGTATTAATAGAAAAAAACACGAAAAACACAAAATCAGAGCAGCTAGTCACTAGAATTCTCTTCCAGACACCGTATGAATTCGATATAGCTTTGCAGGTAGTATAGGTGTTGTGGTAGGATATCTTTGGCATTTTTAAAATAATTAAAGATGTTGTCATTGCCAA